GTGACATGTGGTAGGGGCAGAGCCTCACACTCGTCACGCATTCTGGATCTTTGTTGTCATAGAAGTTACACTTGTTTTGAGAGCAGCAGTGGGTCTGGAGGGAAGACCAGAGCCTGGAAGAGATCAAAGTGGAAGTGCTTAGGCCCATGGTGGGTAGAGAAGGTGAGAGCCCCACCTGCTCCCTCCAACCTCCCATCACAACATGACCCCAGGGGATGAAGGAAATCAGAGTGTGGTATGTAGGTCCCCAACCTAGCTGCCAGCTCTCCTTGGTGCCTTTAAATTCTGATCTCTAGTCTTTGGCCTTTTAGCACCAAACCCTTCTAGCAACCTCAGCCCCCACCTTCTGCTCATAAACCAGGGATATTATGTGACTGGAGGACAGCCCTGAGATCGTGTGACCTGCCCCACCCTGAAGATTGCCCGACTGCCCCCTCCCATACCTGTTCCCCAGGAGGCCATGGTAGTAGGCGAAATAGACGAGGGAGTTGTCATTCTGCTCATAGGAGGAGAGTCCATTGCCCACAGCCAACCCCTGTGAAACACCCAGGGTGTTGAGCTCATCGGGAGGACGAGGAGGAGGAGCCTCCCTTGACCTACACCCAGACCTCCAGCAACCTGGAAGCTGAAACCCAGGGTGGTTTGTGGGGGTGGTTGGGCGGGGGAGGCCACTCAACATAAAAAGCAGAGCTGGCAGCCTGACAGGTGAGCTTCCTGTCACGGAAGGCACCTAAGCAGAGCGTGCCTCTTGAGGCAAGAATGTTATGGAAAAGACTGAGTTAGATGAGGGAATTGACCTGTTTGTCCTCAATAACCACGAGGCTATGGCCACAAGTTGCCTCCCCTCCCCCCTGCAGCTGTCCTGCACCTGAAGATTCATGCTGGGGTCCTGCATGACCAACACCGCCAGGGTGGGGATGTAAATGCCGGCATAGCTCTCTCCTGTCAGGAAAAGCTCATTGTTCTTGTACTCCGGGAAGAGGCGGAAGAAATCTTGAAGGGCTTCATAATTACTCTGGGCAACCTGGAGATGGCAGGGTGGGGGGAGAATCAGGCAACTGCGGTATCTGAGCTGGAAAGAATCTCAAGGATAATGACACCAACCCACAGTGTCTGTGCAAGAGGAAGTGGCTTGGTAGTGACAAGACCACACTGTATAGCACGTAACAGAGCCAAGAATGGACTCCAGGGCCATGCTCTTTCTCTGTATCATGCCACCTTTAAAGGGCCAGGGCGGCTGGGGCATGTGGGCAGGCACTGGACTCACCTCGGTGTCATTGGTTGCATAAGACTTGTCATCGGAGTAGGAGAAGCCCACCCCAGCTGGGGACTCGAGGTACAACATGTTGGCAATCTGGAGAGGAGGAGGAGATGAGCTGAAGTGGGCTCCCCACCCCACCCAGGTGACCAGGCATACCCAGAGGACCCACAGCACCGGCTATACCAGGTTCCAAGAATAGGGGTTGTACTCCAGGGTGACACCATCTGGCTGGATCTGAGGAGGAAAGAGATCGCTGACTGGGTGGTGGGAACGGGCCACCGCGTCAAGCCAGTGGTACAGATAAAGAAATTGAGGCTCAGGAAAAGGACACTATTTTTTTTTAACTTTTTTTTTTTTTTAAATCACAAAGACCTTCTCTCCCTCTTCCCTGGTCTTTGCCTTTGGCAAATGTCCCCTCCCTCTCGCTGTCCTGGGTTATGGAGGAGAGCTGCTTTCCACTCACCAGGAAGGGGCCGTGCTCGGTGAGAAAGCCATCTAGGGAGCTGCAGCCCGGCCCTCCGTTGAGCCAAAGCACCACAGGGCTGCTCTTGGGATCCTTCTGAGACTCCACAAACCTGGGAAGGGAGTCAGGCTCGGGGGGGCGCCGGTGGAGGCGCCCCTTCCAGCCCTCCCGGCCCCACCCCGCACTCCTCTCCCCTGGTGGGCATCCCAGTGTCCCTGCCCAACCCGCCATGGGAGGGAGGGAGGGCCGCGGACCAGTAGTGGAGGTGTTTGGAGCCGGAGCCTTTGAGGTAGCCGGAGTACTGGCGGAAAGACGGCTGCTTGGCCAGCCCGGGCAGACACTGGATTTCGTCCTGGTCGGGGGCTGCCTCGCCTGGAGGAGCCCAGGAGAGCAGCAGCAGCAGCAGGAAAAACGGCGGCGACAGAGCTGCTCCGACCATCTGCGGATAAAGCGGGTGCCGGCTGTTTACTGGCTCCCCAGCTGCTCAGCGACTGCGTGCAGCCGTCCCTAGGGAGGAGCAGGCGACGCATCGCCGAGGAAAGCCTCGGCCCTGGCCTCAGCTCCCACCGCCGAGCCTCTTGTGCTCGCCCCACGAGCTGCCAAGGGCTCTGGGATCCCTTCCAGCCTCCGGGGTCCGCTCACCTCTGCTGCCCCGCGTCCTTGCTTCCCAGGAAGTGTCTGGCGACCGGCAGTCATGTGTACTCCGAGTCACGTGTGCTCCGGCGTCACGTGACAGATTTCCGCCAGCTGCTCGCGTCTCTGCGCACCCGGGGGAAAGAAGGGGCGGTGGCGGAGCTGTCCACGCCCTGTCAGGGGCCGCGGGCCTCGTAGTTCATATTCTGGGTGACCCGGATCAGATGACCCAGATGGGGATGGCCAGGATCCCCCAGCCCCCGGGGAGCCCTGTTCTAAGCGGGATGGCTAAGCAAGCGGCGCTAGGACCCCCGGGCAGAGCCTCGGGGAAGGGAATCCGGTGGGAAATACCTTACATGGTGCCCCGGCGGTCACCTTCTGAGCTTGCAGCCCAAAATAGTCCCCGGCGCCCGCGGGCCTGACTCGTGGCGGGGAGATGGCTGCTGTCTTCGACCCCGTGGAACTAGGTGCGCCCTGGGGACTCGTGCGCCCCGAGCCCCCTCCCACCCGCTTCCACCCGGTGCACGGTGCCAACATCCGCGTGGACCCCTCCGGGACACGGGCCACACGCGTGGAAAGCTTCGCCCACGGCGTGTGCTTCAGTCGCGAGCCGCTGGCCCCAGGCCAGGTATTCCTGGTGGAGATCGAGGAGAAAGAGTTAGGCTGGTGCGGCCACCTGCGCCTCGGCCTGACTGCGCTAGACCCTGCCAGTCTGGCCGCCGTGCCTGAGTTTTCGCTGCCCGACCTGGTCAGCCTCGGCCACACCTGGGTCTTCGCCATCACGCGCCATCACAACCGCGTGCCCCGGGAGAGCCGCCCAGAGGCAGAGGCAGTGGCCCCCAGCCGCTCCCCAGCCCTCCTGGTGGAACCGTATCTGTGCATTGAGCAGTTTCGCATTCCCCGCGACCGCCTGGTGGGCCGCAGTCGGCCAGGGCTCTACAGCCACCTCTTGGACCAGCTCTATGAGCTGAATGTGCTGCCTCCGACCGCGCGCCGTAGCCGCCTGGGCGTTCTCTTCTGCCCACGCCGGGACGGTACGGCCGACATGCACATTGTCATCAACGGCGAGGACATGGGCCCCAGCGCCCGGGGGCTGCCAGCCGCCCAGCCCCTCTACGCAGTGGTGGACGTGTTTGCCTCCACTAAGAGCGTGCGCCTGGTCCAGCTTGAGTATGGCTGTAGGTATCCGACCTCCTGGGCAGCGACCCCTCCTGGCCCACTGTGGGGACAGGAACTTGCTGGCTCCTAAGCATGGCCTCCAAGCATGCTACCTCCAAGGTAGCATGGCCTTGGTCTGTCCGGTGTTAATTTAGAAGTTGGGAAATCTGACTTCAAATTCTGCCTCTGCTTGTGATCTTGGACAAGTCCCTCCCTGGCTCTGGGCGTCAGTTTACCCATTTGGCTGTGATTGATTAGGATGCCCTCCAAGTTGCCTTCTAGCTTGACAGTATTTACTAACCTAGGGCAGGCAGGGGTCGGCAAACTTTTGAAACGGAAGAGCCAATCCTGTCCCTCACAACAATTTAAAAATTATTCGAGAGCCATAAAACAAATGAAATCACCATTATGTGAATAATATCCTTTAAACATTTTATAAATGAAACTATGATAGTTTTATTTTCATTTTCAATTTTACTTCAGAGCCATATGTATGTACCCAAAGAGCCGCATGTGACTTGCCAGCCGCAGTTTGCTGACCCCTGACTAGGGCTGGGATTCTAAACTGATTTTAGATTCTGGGCCTCTTTGAGATTTGTGTGCTCTTTTAGTAGATACCTGCTCACAGATTTGGGCATACGAATTTAAAGGCATCACAGACCCCAGATTGAGAGTTTCTTAATCCTGAGGCCTGATTCATTATAGTTCTAGTAAGCCCTTTAATTAGACCTCTGATCCCATTTTATGAATTCCGTGAACTAGAACCCTCTCTGTGCCAGGCCTGTGAGGGAGGCTCAAGTTGCACAGCGAAATCAGACACTATTCCTGCCCCCAGAAGCTGCTGAGGGCCAAGGGAGTGTTATAGAAAAAGGGCTGCAGCATTGTGAAAGTGTTGTGAAAGAGACGCTTATCTCAACCACATGAACAGCCCCGTGAAGCAGGGGAGGCCCAGAGAGCAGAAGGGAATGGCCCAAGTTAACGACAAAGGTGGGAGGACCCAGACCTACTGTAGATCTTCTAGGTCTCAGACTTAGACCCACCCTCAGTTCAGTTCGCCTTTGACAGCCTTCTTTCCACAGTGCCGTCCCTGCAGACTCTGTGCCGCCTCGTGATCCAGAGAAGTGTGGTGCACCGGTTGGCTATTGATGGGCTCCACCTGCCCAAAGGACTTAAAGATTTCTGCAAGTATGAATGAAGGCCTGCAGCCATCCTGGAGCAGGGCCCAGGAGCATGTCGTGGCCCCAGGGCTGTGGCTGGTCTGAAGCTGGCCATACTGCCGACAGCCAAGACCAGAAATAAACACAGCTGATGCTGATCATTGGAGGGTCTCCTTGCCCCTGAAGCTGGTGAGGAGCACTTTTAGAAATCACTGTATAGGACTGGCTGAGTGGCTCAGTTGGTTAAGAGCTCGCTCAGAGCAACAGCGGTTCGAGTCCCGGCCTGAGCTGAGCTGCCAACAGGTGGCAGGATGGCTCAGCTAAAAAAAAAAGAGAGAGAAATCATTGTGGGTCAGCAGGTCCGAGAAGAGAGTACATTTTAGACATCACCTAGACCAGTGGTTCCTAGCCTGGCTACTCGTCAGAGTTATCTGGGATGCTACCAAGTGCTGATTCTCCAGAGACTCTCACGAGATTTGTTGGAGGATTAGGTCTAGACATTGCTTTTTGTAAAAGCTCCCCTGGAGATTCTAAGTACAGCCAGGGTTGACAGGCATTTCCCTGGAACAGAGGTCTCAACTTTGGCACATATTATAATCACTTGAGGAACTTTGAAAAATACTGATAACTGGGTCTGACCCTGGGATTCTGATTTAATTGGTCTGAGATGAGGCTGGACATCAGGATTTCTAAAAGCTCCCAGGAGAATCTAACGTGCAGCCTAGGGGGGAGAACCAGTGCCCTAGACCCAACTATTTCATTTTGCAGATGGGAAACCAAAGCCCAGAGATGGGAATGTATTTGTCCAGGTCCACGGTAAATGAATGGATGCAGAGAATTCCTTCTCTCCTACTACAGGGCACAAAGCCCCGGACTCCATTATTTGTATCTCTGACCATTTGCTTCCATACAAATCTCATTTAATCCTCACAAATTCTGCTGAGGTAGTGGGCAGTTATTACCCCCATTTTATCAAGAAACAAAACTGTCCAGGTGACATGCCGAAGGTAAAGGCAAGAACCTAGACTGCCCTGGTCCAGCACTCTTCTAACCCCATCCCATTGTCATATAGTTCTAGAATGAACAGGTCAATGCTGTGCAGTCTCCCAGGTGTAAAAGGGAGGGACTATGAGGTAACATTCTAGAAGGGTGACTAGGGTAGGACAGGAGGCAGATGACTGTCCCCTTACAAACAGGGACTTTGGGACCAGCCATGTCTTATTTTATGTCTCCACAAACTCAACCAGTTCGTCTGTCTTCCAGCCAAGGTGAGAGAGGGGCTCCTGGAACTGGAGCGGGTACCACAGCTTCCCCTGAGAACTTGCTTCTTGGCGCTGGGCATTTGGGACTGGCCCTGGCGTCACTTGTTTCCCAAGAAAAGCCATTCCCCAAACGCTTGCCAATAGCTACCCACTTGCTCACTTATTCATTCAACAAATACTTCTCTATCGCTTACTCAGTGTTGGGGACCGGGGATGTGGATATGAGTAAAACCTAGTTCCCAACCGCTAGACATTCCTCTTGGGCTGCTCCTAATTGATCCAGTTCCTAGTGCTCTGCTCCTATGCCCTGCCCCTCAGGGCCGCCTCCTCAGAGACCAAGAATAACATTCCATCTCATTCCTGTCTCTGCAGGTGGGGCTGCTTCTCCAGGCTCGTCTCTTGGCCTCTATAGTCCTGTAGAGCCAGTGGTGGTGGCCTCTGGTGGACTAGGCCCACTGAGCCAGAAGGCTGAGCAGGTGGCACCTGTTGCCCAGGCCTGGGGCCCAGCGCTGGCAGTGCCGGAAGCCAGGGGCTGCCCTGGGGGGGCTGGCTGGGAAACACTGCGGCAGAAGGAGTACGGCCGATACTGCCACAAATTCCGCCACGTGAGGCGGCCGGAGAGCTGGGGCTGGGAAGATGGCTGCTCCAGAAGCAGAGCTCCCCACCTGGGTGGCCCCAGCAGGCCTGGACCCCTGCTGCTGTGTGGGCTGTCACCAGGGGTTCTGCCAGTGCCCTGTGAGGCAGGAGGGAAGGAGGCCAGCTCTCAGCCTGACATCTGCATCCTTACCCTGGCCATGATGATCGCTGGCATCCCCACCGTGCCTGTCCCAGGCCTGCGGGAAGAGGACCTGATCCGGGCAGCTCACGCTTTCATGATGGCCCATCCGGAGCCAGAGGGGGCTGTGGAGGAGACACAGTGGGAGCAGGCGCATGCCCATACAACCTCTGGGCAGATGCCCCTAGTGATATCCAGGAGGGGCCAGCCTCCTGGCTCCTGCTTGTAGCTGGACGAAATAGCACCAGACACATAGGGTGGCTTCTCCGTATGGTTTTTGGGCAGACAGGTTGGGGGGTGCCTATGGCAGGAATGGGGATTAGGGTGATTGAGCCACCCTGATGAATACCAGTCCTTCATCAGGGCCCAGACTGCAGGAAATTTCTTCCGATACCACTAAGCCAGGAGACAGGGCTTGTCAGAGTAGCTACAATGAAAATTACCTGAGATAGAGGGCCTTGCTTGGAGAGTAGAGGCTTGTTTAGTATTGTTTTGGGGACTTGATCAAAATGTCTTGTACAAAGCCCTAGGCAATGTGAATTTTCCTCTTGCCTTTCCCAGCCTGCTGAGAGCATAGACAAGAAAGGAAAATTAACACTTACTTGAGCACCCACTGAGTGTCAGGCTCATGACATACCCACTCTCCTTTAATCTTACCAGAGCTGTGAGGATCTCCTTTTTTACAGATGAACAAATTGGAGCTTAGACAAGTGACTTGCCTGACATAGCTAGTAAAGGGCAGACCAGACCTCAAAAATCAGGCAGGTAAGGAACCAGGGTATGCAGGTAGTATCAGACTCTAAAGCAGCGGTTCTCAACCTTCCTAATGCCGCGACCCCTTAATTACAGTTCCTCATGTGGTGGTGACCCCCAACCATAAAATTATTTTCGTTGCTACTCTATAACTGTAATTTTGCTACTGTTATGAGTCGTTATGTAAATATCTTTTTGTTTTCCGATGGTCTTAGGCGACCCCTGTGAAAGGGTCGTTCGACCCCCAAAGGGGTCGCGACCCACAGGTTGAGAACCACTGCCCTAAAGTCTCTATTCTTTCCAGGATATTTCCTAAGTGCCTTCCACAAGACAAAAAACTAGACAAGTGCTGGAGTAGACAACAGTCAACTTTAATGACCTCAGGATGGGGAGAGGGGTGGGGGTAGGGTAAGAAGGCTGGGAACCTGGCTCAACCACCTCCCGAGGGGGCCTCTTCCTCTGGGGGTCAGGTGAGTCATCTCATGACTGGGGAAGCTGTTATCCCAGACCTTGATTTTATATCTCTTATCTTGAAACAGGGGTCACCTGTTTTTGTAAGGCCCTTGAACTAAGAATGGTTTTTACCTTGAAAAGGTAGTAAAAAAAAAACCAAGAATATACAACAGGTTGTATATGGTCAGCAAAGTCTAAAATATTTACTGTCGGGCCCTTTTTACAGAGAAGGTTTGCTGACTTCTGTCTTAGGGAACTAGATGCATTGTAGGTAGCAGGCTGCAGTAGAATAGAAGACTCCTGTCCTTCTTTCCTGGAAGGAGGGCTCACAGAAATACAACAGTGTGAGTGTGTGTGCAGGGGTGGATGTGAGTGTGTATATGTGCATGAGCATCTCTGGGCACTGAGGGTAATCACAGTTGGACCTGCTCGTAGGGGCCGATCCAGTTGTCAGCCAGTTCCCGCAGGGTGCTATACCGCCGTTCAAACTCCTCCTGGCTGCAGTGCTGCAAGAGCTGACCTACCTCCTGAGTGAGGAGAGTCACGGCCAAGTGTTTATCCAGAGTCTCGCTCCATTTGCTGCCCAGGATGTCGTCCAGACTGGCAGCACAACCTTCTGTCCACTGAGGCGGCAACATGTCGGGCTGTAGCACCTGGCGGCGGGCACTGAGCATGGCTAGGATGTGGCGGCATGGCAGGTGGAAGGCCTGGTTAAAGTAGCAGCTGCAGCTGGCAGGGGGCTGGGGCTGCACCCTATGGGTGTCCTCTAGGATCTGGATGTTCACCTTTTCCGAGCCAGAGCCAATGAGGTGCACGGATTTCTGGACCACGGCAAGCTCACCCAGGCAAAGCTGGGCTGCTGGCCCTGTGCAGATGGTATTGAGGGAGTGTTGGATGCAGGCTTCTACCAACTGCTCCACTTTGGGGCTTTGGGGGCTGACGTCTGAAGGGGCACAGCTGCTCTGGGGACTCAGGCCCAGGCTGAAGCTTGCCTTGTCTCCAGAGTTCTGTTGCATGTATCGGAGCAGGGAGGTCATGCCTTGTTCCACAGATGGGGTGGTGCCAAAGAACTGACTGAGGACTCGGGTGGTGACCTCCAGGCCCTGGAAGTAGCGGCTGCTCTCGGCTCGGCTCCTCCAGCGGTGGGCCAGCCAGATGCGGTCATTGAGCAGCCAGTATGAGTGGAGCTTGGGCAGCTGGTCTGGGGGGATGCAATTGCTCAGGAGTGTGTACAATTTCCGCAGGTTACCAGCTGTGGCCGAGCACATTGTGCTCTGCAGAGACGTCAGGAGCACCCGCTCCACAGGCTGTTCGAGGGAAAGCTGATAGAACTTGCCCTGGAGGAACTTACAGATGTGGAAGGCTGAGGGCAGGACCTCAGCTGTGGGGAACTCCATAGCTAGGGTGGGCAGAGGGAGGAAGTAGGGATCCACTAGGATGGTACAGACTCTCTCCCAGGCTGGGTTAAACTTCTTGAACACCTGGAACATCTGGGCTAGGCCTTCAGCATCCTCCTTGGCAGGAATGGCGAAGTAGACTGCCCGGGCAAGATGACCCTCCAGCTGTACCCGTGGGCCATCTACCAGGAAGGTATATAACACCTTGCCCCTTGGATTATAGGTCCGGTGAATAAATAAGATCTCAGGGAAATGGGCAAAGACGCTCTGCATAAAGCAGCTCTGATAGTTGAGGGTATCTAACTTGGCAGTCTTACTAACCTGGTAGAGCAGCACAGGTGGGCTTGGGTCCTCAATCAGGAGCTCATTCAGCATTGTCAGGGCCATGGGGGAGACGGGAGATGTCTAGATGCCAAGGTCAAACTATTTCTCTGCAATGCTGCTGTCCAGGAGCCTCTCAGTCTCTCAAGCCCCAACTAAGTTGAGGCTTGAGGCTGGACTGTAGTTCCAAGCTCTTGCTCCAAAGATGGGCCTATGGAAAGAAACAGAGGTTTAAGGAAATAGTAGGATTTGACTCTTCAATTATTCATCCAGACAATATTTATTAAATAGTTACTGTATCAGCACTGCTCTAGGGAAAATATACAACAAATATGTAAACAAATAAACAGGATCTATCAGATAATGAAGGTTACAAAGACCACAAAACTGGGTAACAGGTAGAGAGTAAACTGGGAGAGGGAGGGATATTTTAGCTAGGGTGGTCAGGGATGTCCTTTCTGGGGGAAGGGAGGATGACATTGGAGCTAAGACCTAACTGATAAGCCAGTCTTGGAAAGATTTGGTTCCATAAGATCTAAATAGGTGTGAAGGCCAGAGCTGCATAGTCTTTTATTTTTTTTTAATAGCATTTCAAATATTCGTACAGAACTTTATATTTACAAATTACTCCTTGGCATCCATTCTTTCACTTAGTCCTGATACATACAAGAGAACAGCAATTGCCCCAAAATTGCTGTGTGATCTTGGGCAAATCAGTGACACCCTCTGAGCCTCAATCTCTTCAACCATAAAAGGGGATTAACAAACGTGCATAGCTTCTTCTGCCTCTATATAAATTCCTTTATTAACCGCAAAGTTCCAATCCAATGTTTTTTCTATTTGACCCCAAAGCAAGTTATTGTCCCCATTTTACAGATGAGAAACTGAGGCTCAATGAGGGTAAGTGACTTGCCCGCCATTATTCTGTAAATAGTGGGACGCTGAGTCTTTGGCTCGGGATCCTTGATTGCTTTTCAAAGTACCTGAGGTCCAAAAACCGGGGACAGGGAGAGGGCAGGGCCTCTGACCTCTCACCTCTAGCCGGGGTGGGGAAATGCTGATATCTGACAATCCCATACGGAGTCCGGCCGGAGCCAGAAAATAAGTCAACCTCTCACCCCTTTGGGAGCTGTGTCAGGGCTGATCGTAGTCGTCACATCTCCACCCCTTCCAAAATAGCTCACCCACAGCCTGGCTCTGTCGCCATTTCTCCCTATTTGAGCCAGTATCTGACTCTGAGTGACCTCTAAGCTCACCAACCGCGGCGCCAGCTTCCCGTGACTCGAGCCAATGGCCTGAGGAGATCGCGTTAGGTCTTTGGGGGGCGGACCAATCGTAGGCCCGCGATTCGTGGGCGGTGCTGTTACCAGGATTACGAGGGGCTCGGCTGGCGGTAACCAATGAAAGCCTGAGGACACTTGCCTTCAGGCGAGTCTGAGTCCTGAGGCTGGAACTCTGGAACCTCCCATCTGCGGAGATGACTGGAAGGGCGTGATACTATGGAAACTCCAGAGGCCGAAAAATGAAAATAAATAGCAAGCAGTGTTTCATGATTTTTTTCTTTTCTGGTCAAATTCCAAAGCCCCGCGGGGGCGGGGCGAGGGGCGGGCAGGAAAGGGCGCATGTGTAGTTGTACTGCGTCTTCTGTCTTGGGGAAACTGAGGCCCAGGTCTCAAATTCTGACTCTAGCTAGCTCAGGGGTCAGGGGCGCAACCCTTAGATCTGAGGAAATCCAGATCTCCTTGAGAGAGCTTGATGTTGCCCAGCCAGCCCCTCCCAGTGTTTTACAGAGAGATCCAGAATAGCACTGTGGCTTACGGTCATGTTGAACTAGTCCAAGAACGAAGGCAGACTGCTTTCTTTTGACCTCAGTTCCCCTGAAGATGGCATTTTGGAAAGTTGGGTGGCTGTCAGGCTCCAGATGATTAAGATTACAAAGTAGCGACAACAAGTCAGTGTTGGTGATTATAACTGCAGCGAAAATGTTCTGTTTTTATACATTTAGGGGGGAACTGGGACTAGAAGAGGCCAACACACTATAACTTTTGCAGATGAGGAAACTGGGGTAAAAAAAAAAAATCTGGGCCTTTCTCCCCACAGTCCCCCAGCAAGCTGCAGGCTCAGTGGAGGCTTAAGATTCAGGCTTCTTCCCTCCCCGTCTATTGGGTCTCCTCCTGCTTAAGACAGGGAATTATAATGGTGGCACTAAATCTTCTATTTTAAGGTTTGGATCTCTGGTCTTTTTGAAAGCTTTCTTTTCTTTCTTTGCCTCTTAATGATTCTGCTTCCTATACATTTACTGCACTTACCAGTTTCAAGGTTTCTATTCACTTCGGCTCAGTGCTGGCCCTGTCATTTGAGAGAGGTTTTGCATCTGTTTGGGGCCCAGTCCTGGATCCAGCTTAAATCTACATAATATATGCAAAGGTTGCGATAAATGGCTTAACTGCACCCTCCTCCCCCCCCCCCCCCCAGCACCCAAAGGGACAAAGCGGAACTCAGTAGAAAATTCCACTACAGGCCAAAACCACCTTAGGCCTGGAGAAACCGCCTGGAATGTGCTGAATAGAAACCATCTTATTTTAGAAGCCATGTTGTCCTGTTCCCTGCTTGTGATGCATTGAAGAGGAACAGCCTGTTTACCTCGCCCTATAAAACTCCACACCCCTCTTACTCGGGGAGGTTATGGTCTTTTCTAACCTGACCTTCTGCAGCTCAAACACACCAAATTCTAATAGACCAATTCTGGTCTCCTGCGACTCATTCCCCTGGGTGTGCCTAACACTGCTAGAAAATGAGGCAACCTAAAATCAATGTCGAAGGCTTGGTTGGTAGGAAGAGGATGAAGTAAGTGGTGGATTGTTAAATCCTTGAATTTGAGGCATCAGGTTCTGTTTTCCTTCACAACCCCCATGAGATTCCTTCCCTGTTCAAGCAACACACATTTCCCTTGCTTTTTTTATTTTATTAAAAAAAAACCCCAACTTTATTTAATAGGAATAAAAATAGATACAAATAACAGATTCTTTGTAAACAGCCAAGGATCACCCTCCTTCCCTTTGTCCCTGAAAACAGGCCCTTTTACCAGGTCCACTGTGTCTCACCCTATCCCAGGGCAGGGGTTCCTCTCTGTAAAGTGAATAAGATCTGATCTCACGGGTTGGGGGAGAGAGAGGAATGACCTTTCAACACGGAGACAACTTTGGCCTTGAACAATGAATGAGGCTCCCGAGGAAAGCCTAAGGTAGGGCAGAAAAGGGGCAGGTTCAAAGGACTGTTACACAGTCCTATTCCCCCTATTGCAACAATCTTCCTAGCCCTACCTAGGAAGACACTGGTTAAAATGCTGACCCCTAGCGTGTCCTGCCCACTGTGAGCTCTCAGACTTCCAGGGAGAGGGGTCTGTGGTCCAATGCGCCAGCGCAAAGGCTTCAATCATGAATCGTGGCTCCAGCAAGAGGGAGTACCTCCCCTTCCTCCTGTTTTCCCCAGAGAAAAGGGAGGTGGCCCACATCCCGGAAGTCCCCTGGCTGCGGAGTAGGCTCAGGTGGCTGGTACGGGTCAGCCCAGATGTCCACAATCTTGCGCAGGGTGGAAAAGCGCTCCTCCAGCTCTGCACCCTCACTCTGCATTAGCAGGTTTGCTAGCTCCCTGCTTAGGTCCTGAATCATGTCGTTCTGTCCTTGCTTCCCAGGCTGGCCTGTGTTTGGGACCACAGCAGGATCCCGGAGCTCCCCAGTGGGCCCCAGGAGGTGCTGGTACCTCTTTTGCCACCGGCGGCACACCATGGTTTCACCCACGGGCTTCTGGCTGGTGTGCAGCAGGGCCAAAATGTGCCGGCATGGCAGGTGGTACCATTGTTGAAAGGAACAGCTGCAGCTACAGCCATCTTTGCTAACCTGGTGAGAGTCCTCTAGCAGCTGAACATCCACAGAGGGGCCAGCCATGTCCACCAGGTGCGTGGAGTTCTGTACCACCTCCCACTCATTGTAGCACAGCTTATAGGCCAGTTCAGAGCCACTCTGGTGCAAGGTGTCTAGCATGCCACCCTGGGAAGGCTGCACTGGTGGCTGCTGCTGCAGCTCCAACTGCTGTGCATATGGCTGCGTCTCTTTCACAGGGAGCCTGGTGAGGCTCCCTCCATAGATTCCAAAAGCCTTCTTGGACTTGGGTGGCATGCTTGCTGGCCGGGCTCTCTTTAACTTGGAAGGAGCTGTGGGCAAGTTCTTCACGCCTTTGGTATTAAAGAAGTCGATGTAATCCACAAAGCGGAGGATGCAGTCCAGCAGGGACTGCTGTTCCCGAAAGAGGCTTGACACCTTGCTGGTGACGATGTCTAGACTGTCCATGTAGGTGTTACACGCGTGCAGGCCCTTCCTGACGTGCATGTACCACAGCAGTTCACAGGAGAACCAGTGGGCCTGCAGAAAGCTGAAGAGTTCCTCGTCCAGGAGGGCTTGGGACATCTGACAGAGATTTTGCAGGCTGGCTTCAGACGTGACAAACACAGCCTCCCGCAGAGCCTCCTTCATGAGATTTTTAAAGGACAGATCTGCTGAGCTACGATGCAACTTCTTCTCCAAGAGCCGGGTGGTGTGGTAGATGGAAAGGAGAACGCGGGCAGTCGGAAAGATCTCTTGCAGGACGGCTCGATGAGCAAAGGATGGGTCCACGAAGACCACCTTGATCTTGGGCCAGTCTGAGTTGAACTCTGTGAAGATACTCAGCATCTTGGCCACAGACGTGGCTGTCTCGGCCTTGAGCACAGCAAAGTGTACCACTCGACCCTCGCGTTCCTTGTTCTCCACCAGGAAAGCATACAGGATGTGGCCCTGGGCGTTCTCCACCCGGTGCAGCAAGAGGTTTTCCGGAAAGCGGATGAACAGGTTGCTCATCTTGCTGCTCTGGAAGCTGAGCCGGTCCAGGTCTTGGCTGTTGCCCACACTGAGAGAGGCCATGGAACCCTCGTCCACCTTAAGAAAGTTCTTCATCACTTTTGCTATCTTGGCCAGGTCCGAAGCAGTGATGCCCTCTTGCTCTGGCTTTGAGACCGCGTGGACCTTCTCTAAGCAAAATGATGGTTCAACTGGGCACTTGTCAGCCCTGTTAGGCTCTTTCTTGAATGCGGGCTGCGCAGGCTGGGGTTTCTGCAGGCACATTGTCCTCTGAGGTTTGTCACCGGTGTCTCCTCCAGGACCTGCGGTTTTGGAGTCCACATGTATATGCTGGGTGTTGAGTTCACTGATAAATAGTCTATCCAGTTTCTCATTGTACCGCAGGAGCAGGTAGGCTGGGCACACATCCACCTCTGGTGTTGTCTTCCTGTTTGACTGGGTCCGAATACAGACAAATTTCACCTGCACATATCTAGGGAAGGTAGAGGTGACAATGAGAAAGGTGCTGACCACCCACTTTCTCTTCTAAGACAAGGCTTGTAGGGACTTACAGTGGCTGACATATTTCCTGAAAACCACAATGCAGTGTAGGATGGAGGAAAGGCTTACACGCACTCTCCAGTCCCAGAGTATTCGGCCCTTTCTTCCAGACCCTATCTCACTGAAACTCCCTTTATTTTCACTTATAGCAGTTCCAAGCCCCCACTCCCTTCATTCACTCTCTGCTGTCCATCTGTAGCTGCCAACAATTCAATCGAAGGCAAGATACAAGGGAAAATAGACGTGAGGCAGCAGCAGAGCGCCTAGCTGGTTGCTTGCTATTTAAAATATCTCCTTCAGGCCGGCCGAGTGGCTCAGTTGGTTAAGAGTTGGCTTAAGAGCACAAGATCTGAGCAACAGGGCCACCGGTTCGATTCCCACATGGGCCAGTGA